AGCTTTAGCACTGTACCTCAGAGCTGCTCGCATCTTTTACATTTTCCTTGGACACAAGGAGTTCTCGCTGGATCATTTCTCAATGTTGTTACTCTGTGAAGCATCTGTTAATGGTGGTACAGATTTTTTATTAATCAATACGTATTTGGATGTTGAAATGTGCACATTTTCAGTAAATCCTTCATTTTTGAAATGCGGTGGACTGAAGACTTTATTTTTAATGGCAGTTAAACTGTTTCCTTGCTTCTTCGTGCCTGTCCATCCTGATGAGGTTTTATCAAAGCAGCTAATGACCATTGCATCAAACTCAGTCTGGCGCTCCATGATCAACCACATGTTACATTTTTGATGCCACTGTCCCCCCCCCCCAGAGGAATTCTCAAACTGAATTTATACTTGTAACTAATCCCAGAGGAGATGTTCTATTAGATTCCTTGATGACTGATGAACATGGTTCATTGGATCTCAGCTCTTGTATTCTCGGAGGGCTAATTGGATTACATTATAGGGGTAATTGATTATTATGTTACGGTATTCATATCAGTAAACTGAGTAATTACCTGGAGCCTGACTGCCCCCTCCCCCAAACTGAGATGAGATATCATATTGCTCTGATGAAAAGTTTGATGGCTGTGTCATCATGACAGGAAATGACTTTCTCTCCTCATTACACCTCATTGTTTTTGAGACGGAGAGTCACAGTTAGGACTCCATTAAATTCAGGTTGTGGATGCAGCATGATATGGCTGAAGCATATGCGGGCACAGGAAATGGAGAGGGAGAGATTTCAAAACATTATGATCAATAATAGCTTTCATAAGTGGAATTATAGCCCAATGTGCAGCTTTTTAGTTAATTGAATTCTTGAAGAGAACCATTCCCATAACTGTTACATCTCTGGAAGCAGAGAAATCATGATAGGTTTCAGAGTCATTATAATATTTATTGTATTTATATCACCATCATATAACATGCTGATATGCTCATTCCTGCTGCTCGCTGCAGCTTCTTTGTAACAGATGATAGATTCTGTGAAAATGTGGATACTGATGGAGCAAATTGTGTCGCTGGCCGTGAAATGAAACCCACACTGTCGATGTAATATTTCTGCGGCCGTGCAGCTAAAACAACTGGCTACATATTATGTGCAGCAAAGATGATTGCCGCAGCCATCAGCCATTCTCCTTGTCTGTCTCATCAGTGGAAAACAATCAGCATCACCGTTGATTAGTATGGTTATTGATTGGTCTGCTGCCAGATACACGGCCTTTCCAATGGGTCGTTACCAGGGACTGATGTAGCGCACGTTGACCTTGGGAATCAGAGGGCATGCATGGGGCTGAGCTCTCACCGCAGGAGCTCCAGTCCCCGAATGAGATTAGTGAGGGAATGAATCATAAAGCAGATGGGCCTGGGTTACTTTTCCTGATCTGCCATGTTGTTGATGAGGATGCACGGAGAGGACGTCTGGGTGCACGGGGGGAGATCCGTGCTTCACTGAGGCCTCCACAGAGGTAGATTAGTAAGCGTGTGGGTTAGTCCAGCACATGAGCTCATAGCTGGTAAATCTGTCAGCCGAAGCACGCATTGAGCTAATTGAGTTCCTGTCTTTGTCTGGGACGACGGTGAGGGCGTTCCACCCTATCAGCTCTGACCGGTCCCAGACACACTGTGGTCGACTGAGCGTTGTGGTTTCAGATGGTCTGATGAGATTTTGTCCTTTTGTCCTTCCACTGTTGAGACAAATGAGACAAAGAGGACACAGACAACAATAAACTCAAGGTAACTGCAATTATCAAAGACAAGCAGGGCGAGCACCCATGGAGATGACCGATTGTTGTTTTTCAGCCTCGTATGAGTCCAATTTCGACATCCACTCAGCAGTACATGATATCTATTGTAAACATGGATTGCTACAAGAGTCCTCCTGTTCAAACACTGGCTTTGTTTGCAAAATTACTTACTCTGGCTTTTGAAGAAATGACACTATATGACGCTGCTTAACGTGGGTTTTATAGCTGTGTGGAGGCTGTAAAAGGTCAGCTTATGATGGTAATGTTTACACACTTTGATTTATGGCACGTCGAGGCTGCTCCAAAAACAGCAATAATGTCACTCTATATGTCAAAAAATGAGGAGCATATTTTTTCACTGTTCCCATGACATAGCATTGACTTGAAACATGTGCTCCAGCTTTTATTTTTTTTAAATCATTATCCGTGCATGGTGTTAAGAGGTGAATTGTCATTACACTGTATGTATTTCCATCATTCTTATGCAGCGTTTGGGGGAAAGGTAATGAGTCATGCTTTGAAAATTCATCATCATGGCTTCACTGACAAAAGATGCCATTTGCTAAGAGAGGCCTGCTTGATCCATTCAATTAATTAGTTTTGATATAAACTGCTTGCTTTCTGTTGGCTTCAGTCCTGGAAAGAAATTGAATTTTGAATGATATAAACGAATTGTGTTGCATGGGGTCCACGTAACGTGGCTTCGAGCCAGGGCCAGCGTTCATAAATGCATGCGGCTCACGCTGGTTAACGCGCTGGAGTTTTATTTGTGGAGCTCCTGTGTTTGATTCATGACTTTATCATATGTAAGATTTCTGTAGATTAATTTTCTTTATTTATCTCGTAAAAGGCTGTAGACATTTGTATTATATAGCTTATTCAAACTGCAAATGAACCCAGGATCCTTAGCATCTTATCAAATTGAAACTGACTAATTATTTATCTTAATGAATATCAAGCAATAGTTTTCCACTGTCAGGTTTGAGCATAGAAAGAGGGTTTGAGCCTGTGTCAGTATGATAATGGCGCCCTCTAAAGGCCATTTTAGGTGCAGGGATTAAGGCCTTCACTGAGATTGCAAACAGGATATTTATTGTGTTTCTTACACTTTCTCACACCCATTCTGTGTTATTTCAAGTCATATATATCAATATTGTTGACATCCAGCACATTCAGAGTCTATGTGTTGCTGAGGGTCTCATTTGAAATGTCTATATAACAGTCAACAGGCATTGTACTGTTATTCTTCTGTAGCAGAGCCATCCATCCATGTTACACTTTTTTTCTGCCTCCCAGGGACTCACAGCTCTGTATTATATCATTACATCTAAAAAAGACAAGCAGCAAAGATTATTCCACACATAACCCTTATCACCAAAGTGCAAACCTTTTATGAACCAGTTTGCTTTTTCATGGGCTAGAGCCGCCTCAGAGCCATGTCACTGCATCACCATAGACGTGACTGACTGCGTCTCGATGCCTCAACTGTATGAATGAACCCCCAAACTGGCACTTTTTATATTTATTTTATTAAATTATACATATCCTTCTTTCATTGAATGCTTGCTCGCTCTCTTCTATCTGTGCTCCGAGTCAGAGCATGGACTGTATTTAAAAACCAGATTCAGCAACTAGCAAAGTTATAAATCTAGTCATTAGATTTAGCATTGAAAAGACGCCAACAGTCTGTTTAACTCAAGAGGAAACTTTGTATCATCTCTTTTTTTGTGCTCTCAGGCCAAAATATTTAAGTTTGGCATCCACAGCTTCATCTCCTCATCATAAGTTAACTTTGAATGATATACATATTGGAGTGCTATGCAACTTATCTTTGGACTTCTCCAAAAGTCTAAAATTCCTCACAAATTATCATAAAAGAAACGAGAAATGAGTGAGCTATTGCAGAATTTGCAGAAGTTTTGCCTTTCCCTCATTCACACGCACATACAGTGCTTCTATGTGCAGCACTTGTATCACACGTCACTCACACACTGCCAGCACAGCCGTCAGGGGTAATTTGAGGTTCAGTGTTGGATCAGAACGGGGGGATTGAACCACCGACCCTCTTTTTAGTGGACGACCCACGCCAGCTCCTGAGCCACAGCCACATGTTTATATTCACATTTTCTAAAGCCCTGCCAATCAATCATCATGTGTGTTGTTTTTAAAAAGTATTTTATTTCCAGTAGTAATTATTCCAACACCTGCAAAAACATCCATCCATAAGAACTTGTGTGTGAGAGAAAAATTTATCTTGCAGATCTATACACCCACTGTGCTCAAAACATAAGCTGAGGGCCAATAGAAGACTTAACGTGTACAGGGCTTTAGTGTGAGTCAGAGCACAAATGGCTCTGATTACAAAATGGCAACTCATCCCTAAAATGTTTGTAGTCATGAAAGTGACTCCCGCTATCCCAGCAGGATTAACAAACAAGTGGCCTGCTGGTCCCGGGACCACTTTTAATAAAAAGGGGCCGCGGCAGCCTCCCAGAGTGTATCTCCATCTCTATCCTTCAGGAAGGACGGCCACATTTTATCCATCAGCTCGGCCTCCTGTCATCCAAGCCCCATGAAATTAAATCAATGTCTGAAACCAGAGCCAAAGCCTCAACTGCACCAACAGAAATAGAAAATCTAGTTGTGCTGTCTGCTAATGACATTAGTGCGTTCCCTAAATGGTCGCCTACTGTCGTCAAAGAGGAACATAACAGGGATATAATTACAGGAGGAACACTCACATCTCCATTTTCCAGTAAAACATAGCCTGCTATAGCTCTTTATGGATTACCCCCTCACACACACATGCACACACGTACATACATGCATACACACCCCGCTCTGGCAGGTAATGATTCATTTATCCTGCATATCGTGTTATCCCTTGTAATTAAACTTCTCAAGGTGAATGCAAGGAGAATCGGAAACCACATTATTGACCGTAGGAGAAATTCATTAAAAGAGCTGCATAAGTGTGATTTGAAACCAACCTTCAATTTCCGCAAAGGGGGGAGATGAAAAGCTGATCAGCCCAGGCAGCATTGTCAGTGCACACTGTTGTCACAATTAAACATCCAGGGAGAGATGTCTGATAACTGCTGGTATCCTGCTCTGTAATGACACAGTGTTGTTAGGCTGTGTTTTTCAGTCAGAGTGTTGACTCACCTGCTTTCCAACAACTGTTTTCTCCATATCTTCTCTCTGCAGGAGTGACAGCCCTGTACTTCCCTCAGAATGAGTACATCGAGACGGTGTACGTGGGCCAGCCGGCAGGTACGCCCATCCTCCAGGTCCACGCCATGCTGGACAATGACTCAGAGCGGCCACATTTCTACCTGTGCTGGAGCTCGATCAGACGTCCAGCCTACAGCTCCTGGTTCCACCTGGACGTCAACACTGGAATATTGTCCTTGAACAAAACTCTGGAAGAGAACGACTTTGCCATCCCAAGTGAGTTGGACACAAGCATTGTCATGGTAATGCAGAGTGGGGTCTGAAAGTCTGAGACCGCTCTGTATAATCTTATTTCAGTGCCGGGTGTGTTCTACACATGAGAGTATTTGTTTCTTGGCGTTTATGCTCTTTGCATACTAATAATGCTTTGGCTCTGTGTTCAGGTTGTAATGTAATTGCATAATGGCAAGAAAAAAAGTGCAGTAGACTAAAAAGCACTGTGTGAGATTAAAAGGCCTCTCGCTTCTGTTTTGGCTCTGCTTCTCATCAGATCAACATTCGTGGTCCGTGAAGAAGTTGGGCCTCCACGCCACGGTTTTACCAAACTTCTCCAGGAAGCCCCACTGCATCAACAAGAACTCGCCTCGGATCACGCTGGACTTTGTCAACGCCACGTTGCCCCAGTGCACCCACACAGATATGAAGGAGCTCTGCTTCCCCCATAGAGACACCTCCAACCCTCACATAATGGAGAACAGGTTCCCCGGGGCCATACGACAACTGCGACGACTCACCAGACTCAACGTCTGCCCCAACTACACCATCTCTTACAACGTGGAGTCAGGTCAGAGACATTAAAGAGAGAGACTTTTTGATGTATTAAAGAAGAAATAACAGATTCTTCCTATTGCAGATGGAAAGTTGAATTTCTAAGTCATAAAATGCAGCAAAGCTCAGTTCAACACATTCAGTGGTTTTACAGTCTCACTTGTTCTGGTGTGGGATAGTGTTAGCACTAGCTGTATAACACATTACTCAGTCACTTCATTGACTGAATGACCTTTTTCTTCTTGGGGTACTGTTAATCTCGTTTAGCGTTTAAGCTAAATTACTTTTTCCATTACTGATATTGCAGCAACGTTGCTGTTCAGCCAAAGCACAGTTTGCTTTTGAATCACATCCATACCATTCCAGATGCTAAATTTCAGACACACAGACACATGCATGATTTTTTTGTTCTTCCTCGTCTCTGCAGAAACCCCGGCACCGTTCGCTGTGAATGAGAACAGCACAGAGCTGGTGGTGACGGCCCCACTGGACCGCGAGGAGAGTGAGTGCTACAGACTCCTACTGGTCTGCACAGTCCGAACAGACACAGTCATCACCAAGGTGGAAACCTCCCTGGACGTGTTCGTCATGGACGAGGATGATAACGCACCATATGTGAACGGGACGGACACGACGGACATCGTTATCAGCTTCAATCGGACAAAGGTGAGAGCAGGGGTGTATTTAGGGGTGGGGCCAGGGTGCAGTTGAAATTGCATTGGTCCCTGAAGAGCCCCCGTTCTGTCGGTAGTCGCTTATTTATTTGAATAAACATGATACTAGCAACAAATATGACCAAGCTTTTAGGAACACAATTGAACAACATTTTTTCAAGATATATTCAATTATGTGTGGCTTCAAATCAACAGTAAACAAGGAACGACTGAAAGGTCTGAATCAGGAACTGTACATGGATGTTGGAAATATAATTGGCCCCTCTGTGTAAGCTGTGGCCCCTGATTAAAGAAAATCCTAGCTCCGCCACTGAGTGAGAGGACGAATACAGGACTGATCTGATCAGCTCTCACCTTCTTGTTTTTTTTCTAGGGTGGCTCTTTTGGAACCTTGTATGTCTTTGACAGGGATTTAACCCCCATCTATCACATAGACAACAGCCACAGTAAGTACGCCGGGACTTTGCTCAACAGCAACCCATGGATAAACAAAACATTCGAAATAAAAGGCACCTTCAGTGAAAAGAAAGCAGCTCATGGAGGCATTCGAGAGACCGTCCACGACTACCGTAAGTAAACCCAAGTACTAAAATTTATGTTTCTATGAACACTGTAGTTTTCTGATGCATTTATAACGTGT